TCCGCAAGTCAGCCACTTCCACGCTTAGGGCATACTAGTAGAAGGTATGTTAGTTGGGTATCGGAAGCACTGTCCAACTATCTGAAAAATCTGCCAAAGCACGAAAATCAAGTGATCCTGATTACCTGATGCTTCGAAGATTTGCAATGAAAGTAGCATGGTGTGACAGAAATCAATATTGGAGCGATATGGCCTTGAGAATGGAGAGGCTGTTCGATTAGGCATTAATGGGAAACTAATCCGCATTCTTCAAAAAACAACTGTAACTCGGAGAACGATCAGTGAAATGGTAAGGGATAGCAATGGCGTGCCGGTCAAGAGTATTAAAGGGCCGCCTCATAAGATGGAAACAATTCTTTGAGGCTAAACTTAAAAATGAAGCGATCCCATCTGTTGCTCCTGGTACAGCTAATACGTTCGTCGAACCAGACGCTTGCAATAGCGAGCCGCCTCCGACAGAAGAAAAAATAAATTCCGTTATCCATAAGCTTAATGCCAATAAGACTCTTGGAGAATTTGGTGTTCGGGCTAAACTCTTCAAATGTTGTCCATCGTCCTTCATAATGTACCTTCAGCAAATGTACTCTCTAGTTTGGGAAAAAGAAATATTACTAGAAGATTGGAGCAAAACAATTCAGCTCCCAATTCTCAAGAAAGGTGATAGGACATGCTGCGACAATTATCGAGGAGCCAGCCTGCTACTAGAGGTCTTAGCGAAAATTTTTGCTTCCCTTGTACTCAATAGACTTATGGAAATACGAGAGAGCAGGATGCGCCCTAATCAAGCTGGATAAAGAAAGGGGCGCGATTGTGCTGACCAGATATTTTCGTTAAGAATGGTGCTGGAACATCGCTTCAGATATTTACAACCCACTGTAACGTGTTTCATCGAATCTGCGGTTGCCTTTGATTTAATTGATAGAGCGGCACTTTGGAAGGTGATGGAACGCGACAATGTTTCAGAGATTATTCGACTCATAAAGGCATTTTATGAGCGTACGTCGACGCAGGTATGTGTATATGGGAAACTGACACACTTCTTCGAATTAAGAATTGGTGTCTGTTAAGGGTGTGTCCTTTTCTCTACAAGTCGGCACTCAAGAGGTGTCCAAATCAATCCAGAGGACCGTATCACAGATCCTGAATCTTGAATACGATGATATAGTCCTTTTTCTTGAGTTATGACGAAAAGCAAATAGTGCTAAATAACGTTCCAATGACAACAGCGAGAATCGGACTCAGGTTAATATGAATGAAACGGAAGTCTTTTCGTCTTATGTGCAAGAAGCTGATAAAATGCCGCTTTTTATAAATTATCGATTATCGATTGAGGAAATGCCCGATTTGAAATATCTTGGGTCCACTCTATTAACAAATGGCCAGGCAAAAGACGAAATTAAGATTACCCCGATAACGGCAGCTAAAAGTGCATTCTTTTGAAATCTTTATGAAGCGTATCACGAAATCACCATAAAAACGAAAGTTTGCTTCTATATAACCGCGATTCGATCTTCCTATATGGCTTCAAGACATGGCCAATGAGAGTAGAAAATATTAAGAGGATATTTTATCTCCTTTTGACCACTCATGTCTAAGATATATTTTACAGGTTCGCCGAGTGGGTAAAACATCCATGTTCACTCAAATATACTTTCATTAACTGCATCATACAGATCGTCGCCTCCGCCGGTTGGAGCATGTTTTTCGTTGCCCATCATAAGAATTAATATATTTCGTTATGTTTCGTAATTTGCTAAATTTGGTGATGGGTGACGTCAAAAGCGAGGCAGGCCAATCAAGACCTGGACAAGCAATATATGGACTTAGACGATGGAAAAAGGAATAGCTTCTATTACTGTCGACAATGGCATCAGGCCGCGCCGCTTGGAAACGTCTTACCTTTGTAGCCATTGCAGCCAGCCTAATCAGCAATGGTGAGAGCAGATAAAAGAATTGTCACACGGATTTTTTTAACGATATGCTTGCTCCTGTCAAAATCAGGACTATGACGCTTGACGCTAACCGAACCAATCATACCACTCGACCACCTCTGTCCCTGATTAATGAATCGGTCATATTGAGGGCCACTAAGCCTACAATAATTTTTTGCAATCTCGAAACATTCAATCAAGCATAAATTTGAAAATACAACAAATGCTGCAAAAAATTAAAAAAGTAATAAATTTCATTTTTTGTAGAATGTTATATATAATTGAAACTGGCAAATTCATACTTTTTTCTTCTTCTTACTTTCTTCTTATGCAGCTTGACATTATAATGTTAACAACTAGATGAACTATCATAAGCAAAATTCTTAAGAAAATAAAGCAAACGAGTTGAGCTATGAAATTTCATTCATCTTCCAACAGCAAACACCATTCCTGTTTGATTGACTGTTAGATTGAACCCTTCAGTCACTTTAGTACAGAAATGCATACGGCTATATGGATTTATTATATCATATATCACCATATGGATTTCATTTTAAGCGATAAATTTACTCATAACAGGGGTCAGGAATAGAACTCATAATACTTGACTTGACACTCAATCACTCAATTATACAATTCGACCACATTACTATATAGGCTTAACCGTAAGCAAGGCACAACGCTAACCACTGCATAGTGATCATTTCATATCATTGCAAGTAATGTTTAAAAAAAAATTGGTAATTTTACTTATGGCATTAAAATTGCAATTTTTATCCATAAACTACTTAACAACATAAATCAACCGTTTTTTTTTTTAAAACATATTTTTGTAAATAAGCGTCCAGCTTCTCAACTCCAGAAATCGCTTTGTCATTCTTCTATTTATTCTAATTCGAATTTATGATTCAGCTGCATTATGGTTTCAATTCGAAATTTGAAAAATGCTAGAAATATACAAAACCATTCTTTAAATTTTGAATGTAAAAACGACTGAATTAGAAAATGCATTTTTTTCAATGTCAATATAGTTAACACAGCAAATTTGGCAGATGGAACCTAAAATAACCAAAAACCAACTAGCATAAATTTTTTTGACAAATTTATTTGTTCGCTAAGAAACGAAGCAGAGTATAACGCTAATTTCTGGAGACAAATAAACTGAATGGATAGGAATATGGTTAATATTGCAATTAAAAAAAATTCGCTTATAAAGTAATGAACTATATAATTAAAATCATTTTAAATTCATTTTTTTGAAAAATATACTCCTTCGGTCGGATTCGATATTTTTGACTATATTTCTCAAAATCACAATTCAAATAAAGGAAAATTTGTCGAAAATTTCTTTTTACTAAATATAAACAAAGCTTCACATATTTATTGCAAATACACAGATAACTTCAATCAAATTCGTATTTTCATTTTTTTTTCTTTAATTCATTTGATCAATTAGATATTTAGCATTCAACATTCTGGTTAGGCTGGCCATACTGGCTGTTCATATCAATTTCTCTGAGTCAAGAGATAGAAATATAGATGGAAGTTTCAGCAGGATCTGTTAATGACAAGTTCTTCCTGCTGGGAAGGCAATCAGATGTTCTCTATGATAATCTAATCAACAACCACTGGGGATATGATGGCTTAGTGGGCTGTTGCTCAATTTGGTGCGCCGATATTATGGTTCGATTCCCTCGAAGGAGTAAACCTGTCTAAAAATTCGAGTGTTGCTGGCGACTCACCTGTATTTCTATCGTCAAGGAAACTCCCTGGCACATTTGTCTAATGCAACAAACCAGCGGAGCGAGTTTAACCAGTAACAGTGAAAGCTCTTTAAAAAAAATCAATGACCACTCACTTGTTCTGCTAATGAAATAAACGATTATTGACAAGATGCGCTGAAATCTGTTGCAATTTCTGATATAAGATTGATTTTCGACAACTTATTGCAGTATTAAGATCGAATAAGCACCAGTTGTATGCTTACAAACTGCTAATCACTTAGGGCACACGGATGTTTGCGACAGTTGTCGCAGAGTGCACACCTCGCTGGCATGCTTCGTTGCTCTAAGTTCAAGACCACCTCGAAATAGCGAATGAGATTTAAGCAAAGAAAAAATTACAGCTCAGCACCTCCATTTTTCATTTGAGATTTTAGAAAACAGTCGAGAAAACGACCGACTCTTAGTAAAGAGCAGAAAATTTTTTCTAAGCCATTTGCATCTAAGGTATTTTTTTCCAAAGTTCATCGACAATTTAAGAGATTTATATGGGTGTGTACTGCGGAGTTAATGATCAATAAATTGCACACGAAGGTCAGAGGTTACCGGTTTTGGGATCGAAAATTTGTTAACCTTTTTTTTTGAAATATTAAGTACTCTACGTACGTCTTATATGGTTTTTGACATATGTGTTAACTTATATTTTATATTTCAGTGTTTGCAACATTCTGTATATCCATATTAACGCAAATAGTCACATGATGCGTTATTTTTTTTGCGGTGCAGTATCAGCTCTCGCTGGCGCCATTCTATATGCAAACCTTCCAACACGATATACAATTGGTGCAACTTCACCGAAGGCTCAGTTCTTAAATAAAACTATTCTTCGCAAGGTGATTAGCGATAAAGAGCTTCAGGATCCTGTTATAGTATATTAATTTTTATTCATAATTTCAAATAAAACTGAAAGTTAGATAAGAAATTTAATGAATGAGGACAGACTAAATCCACTAATTGTTAACTCTATTTAATGTAGGAACAGCAAGATCATATGAGAGAGGCAACTACTGATTTAAGTCACTCGTAGTTCCTACTCTCTTATTCTTAGACTAAAATAAACCTGTATTATATACTTGAAATCCAGATGTCAGTGAATTTCATTTATGCTTCTATTATTTAAGTGGCTTTTTAGCAAAGAGTTACCTAATTGCCAGTGGATGCTGTTAGAAGAATAATGAAGAAACTATGTAAAGATAAGTTAAAAAGGTGAATTCTTTAAATGTCTTCAAGAGCATTTCAGTTTATCTTAATGATTAAAAAATCTTGCACCAATTTTTAATAGTAAATAATGATTTTAAAGGCAGGTGATTTGTTCAAAAAGCATCCGGCTTTAGTAATGGCAATAAGACGACCAGGTTGTATACTCTGCCGGCAGGAAGCAGCCAGCTTATCGACTTTGAAACCAATCCTTGATAAATCTGGAATTTGCTTATACGGTGTTATTCATGAAATAGAAGGTGTTGAGGGTTTTAAACCGTATTTTACAGGAGAAATCTACTATGATGAAGAAGTTTCTTTTATTTTTTCGCGCAATTCAAATCTTTAAAATGAAAATTTACCATGCATTTCAGTAAGACATAATTACAGAAACGTTTCTATGGTCCAAAAGAACGCTGGTTACCACTATGGATAGGTTTCTTACGACCATCTCTCTATTTCAGATATCAGAATGCCAAAAAAAAGGGAGTAATTGGTAATATAGAAGGTGAAGGTCGACTTCTTGGAGGTTAGCTGAATATTCATTGTATTCTATTCCTCCAATATTTTTTTTACTAATTTCTAGTAATTTTAAAAATTTAATTGGGCATAAATTCGTCCTTCTCTAGTTAGCATATTATTATGCGTATTATTAGGTAGATTTCCTTTGATGCTCATTTTAATCATTCATCACTGGATCTTTTAAATTTTTTCAGCTGTTTTCAGTTGCCCAACAAATATTTTTAGGGATCTTCTTGATTCATAAAGATCGCTTAGCTTATGCTCACTTTGAAGAAGACTGGGGAGATGCTGCTGATTTGGATGAAGTACTTAAAGCTATAGAAGAGTATAAAAAGAATGTTAATGGATATATTTGCAAGTGATTCCAGGTTCATTCCGACTTATACCACCAAAAATAATTTTTCAATATTTTTTTATCACAAACTTTTCCAAATGATCGAAAGGTACTTTATTATTGAACATTTCATTTTTATATCGTTTTTTGCAATTATTATTTTAATTTTAATCAAATATTTTAATGTGAGAGCTAATTTTGTAATTCGTTCCACTGGAAATTTACTTTTTTCGAAAAAATACTGAATTTTCTCCAGTAAAAAAATTTATGAACCCAAATGAAACAATTCACCTGAAAATGAATTACAAGTTATCGTTCTTCGTTTTTTTTTCTCTCTATTAGTTTGCCTGCGATGTTCACTTCGACGTTAGGAATAGGTATATCGAACCGGACACATTTCTGAAAATATCATTTTCATTTTTGATCCAATTTTCGAGCAACTAATTATGAATAATTAATAATATGATTACGAGGCAGAATATTTTTGAAAAAAATGAAATAAAACCTCGATAGTTCTGATTAACTCAATTTCCCAAGGGCAGTGGATAAACGAAGTAACTTTACAGGAATATTTGGAACTGATCCGTCCAACTCTTCCGGACCGATAAATATAATCAACCATATGTCGAGGAAAATCGTAATTGATTACATGTCGAAGTAAGGGAAGATCTAGTCCTCTGAAAATATCAATGAATTCCAACCTTGTTCTAAAATTTTTGCAAATACGTAAATTTTTGGGTAAAACAATTACATTTTCATTCTCTCCTAGGCAAATTTTGTTAGAATCCAAATCCAAGTGTAAATAGTAGTCTTACAAATGATATCACCTGCTTGCAACATCAGTTGCGACAAAAATGCGAGGTTCTTCAATAAAAGCTTTGTTCATCACTTCTAATTGCTTAATGTCCATGGTACCTCCCATTAAAAAGGGATCACTCGCCAAATTTTGTAAAGTCTGAGTGACATAATAACAAGTTTTCACATCCTGAAATAAATAGAAATAGATTTAATTTCGTGTCATTCCATTTCAGTACATCGAATCAAACACCATTGCTAAAATCGAATCAATCAAAATAAGTAATTGTGCTAAACACAAACTTTACAAAATATCATCGTTTGACCTTTCGATTTTCCCAAATCATCATTGATTATTTTTTCAACCTGTTTTATTTTATCTGCTTCAGTAACTCGGATAAATTTTTGGATAACATGAGGCATCAAATGGTGAAATCGTTTTGTTGATACAAATTGCAAACAATCTTTATCCACAACATTTTCAGCAAGATCAAGCAAAGATTTTGGGCATGTTGCAGATGAAAAAATTACACGAGCGCCTTCTGAAAATGTCTGGTAAATTTCTGTCAAAATCATATAAAAATTCAAATTTAAAATCTATAAAGTGACTCAGCAAAATTTACCATTTTCTGTCTTATTTGTTGCTGAATATCGGATTTTTACAATATTAAGGAAATCTACCATAACATCCACAAAACTGTCGTCTAACAAAATATCTGCTTCATCAATTACTAAATAATCCACGTTGGTCATTTCTTTTAATATTTTAGTTGCTGTTGCAGGAGTGCTGACGAAGATGTCCCAATCCTCAAAAAAAAATTTCGAAGAAATTAAAAAGTTTCCCAAAAACTCTTAATAAAATCGGACGATAAGCAAAAATAGATCGAAAAGGGAATAAAAAAGACTAACAGACGACAGTGTTACACAATCAGCTGAATATATTAAATGCAGATCAGTATTTTTTATCAAATTGGAAACCATTCTTCCAAGCTGCATTTTTAAAATCTTCGTTGGCACAAGAACAATGGCTAGAACAAAATAAAAAATAAAATAAAAAATATGATTTGACTTCATGTCATAAATTTTTAGTGGTAATCAAAATGAAAACAAATTTTAATAACTCTCGACCTCTGGCTTTCTTTCCTTCACGACGTTTTTTCAGTAAGTCCTTGATTATTGGAACTATATAAGCTACTGTTTTACCGGAACCCGTCTCTGCTACTATGAATAAATGCCGATCACATCCAAATGATTTAAAAGACTTCGCCTGTAAAAATCCAATAGGTACATATATTAAATTTGTCAAGCAATATTTATCACAAAAAGAGATGAACGGAGGTATATTGTATATTTCTTCGACGAAAATTTTGCAAAATTAAAAAGGTATTTTTTCAAATATTCATAAATTTTTCTTTCCAGTTGCCTGGTACTCTTATAACATATAATTATTACAGAACAAATCAAACATGAAAATTCATTCAATTCAAAACCTGAATAATAGTTGGACTTTTACACTCTAGTTCCATCAAATTTATAACAATTATATCATCAATATGATCCATACATTCTTGCCAAGAGAAAACAATTTTAGAATCAAACGATGGATTCTGAAAAAAATCAAAGAAAATACATAAGGCGACAATTCTAATGGTAAAATAGAAAAAAAATTTAGAGTCTTTCAAGAAATCTTTTCTTCTTAGTTTCAGATCTCTTCAAGTCGCTTAAATAAACATAAACAATGAAATATAGAAATTACACTGTGTTGATGAATTTAAAACTATTGAAAAAATCGTGAAACACGTTAAAATTTGACGCAGACGAAGTAAAAAATGCTGCAAAAGTTAATAAGCACCCTAAAAATTAGTTGCAGAATTGAATAATTACGCGTCAAAGGTAAGGTAACATTGTAATTTAAAAATATAAATACAGAAATAAAAATTAAGTACAAATTAAGTACACTTTGCCAATCATTCCTTCGACAAATGGTGAACCAATCATTTCTTGATTTACGATTCATCCATTCATCGGTAATTAATGGGATATCAAAAGACGGATATCTCATTCCTTCATAATGCAGGTATTCTTTCTTTGGACAGTCTAGAAAAAAATTTTAACAGCATAATTTAACAAAATCTAGTGATTCTAATTTATACTTTCATACGCTTAGGTTCCGGTCCAGAAAAATTTCTGAAGCGAAATACGACGAATTCTTTATTTGATCTCGGACAACAATTAATTAATTAACAACAATTAATCCATATACTTCTCCAGATTTAATTCAAAAGTGATTCCTACAACTCACGAATAAAAGTAGATAATAGATAGAAATTAGTGAAAAATTAATGGAGAAAATAAAAACTGAAAACATGCTTTTAGAGATATGCGACATAACAATCAGCCAAATGAAAGAAAAATATAAAAGATCCTCATAATTATTTATTTTCAATTTGCTCTAGTTAACAACAGCACATGAAGTACGTTTTTTTGGCTTCCTCATGGGATGAAAAAAACTCAAAAATCTATTTGTTACATAGCGACAGTGGCTACCAGAAAGTCTAATTTCGCCATAAGAATCCAATCATCTTCCTTTGAACAATTTATATCTTTAAATCCTCATCCCGACAGTCGGTGAAATCATAAATGGTGGTGGCTGTTATAAAAAAAAGAAAAAACCAATCAAGATGATCGGCAGGAACAAACTATATTTTAAATATTCGAATGATGCTGAAGACTCACATGTAATTCTCTTACAAAGAGATTCCCTGGCAAAAAATTGTCTGGTCCAACGAGCTAGCCGAGCAAGCCTAACCAGAAATGGTGAACGTTTTTCGAAAAAAAATTCTTCGCACTGTTTCTTTATAATTATCGTGGTTCCCCGACTATCTTCATAGTCTAACTATCGATAAAATGAAATATATACCTTATTCAACTCCCAACTTTTACTTCATACCATTAAGTGATCAGATAAAGTACAAGTAATAATGTTATAAATAGTAATTTGTAAAATCACAAAGTATCTCACCAATAACGATTCTAGCAGAAGATTGATAAACTCCATAAAGCCCTTTAAAATCTTTTTTCGTTCGCTCTTCATTTTTCATCTTTTTTCTTGCCTTCGTTATCGAAAATGGTTCATTTATTGTAGGCTTTCGGCTACAATTTGAAATAGAATCGGTTAAAAACCATTGAAAAATTACAATATATAGCTTTCCATACAGCGGGAGAAAATTTCTATAAAAGCTATTGGCAATCTCTTTTTCCGTAGAATGGTAACCAGTAGAAATGCTAGATAAAAAATGCTAGATGATTAAATATCAAATAAAATTACATGTTTTGCTCCAGTTCAAATCGCATTAGGCCACAACTCTTGCGTGTTTCATTTTGCGCAACAGTCGAATTCCATTGTTCCTCACCAGCGACTATCTTGCCTGCTCTAAAATCGAGTTTAAGAGGCTCCAAGTCTGGCCCCATTTTTCCAATGTTACCAAACTGAAAGTTTTTTGGTCCACTGATAATAAAATACGATAAACTAATGTTCAAGCTTCTAGAGATTTATTGCATTTCTACAGCCACAGAATCACAGAACTCTGAAATACTGCCATCAATCCATTCCCTTCGGTCAGGTCAACACCCTAAAAAAGATACAGCTTTGTGTCTTTAATTTTTTGTCGTACTGTTTTTCACGTAACTTTCGCGCAGTCATAATTTTCTGTGTTAATGGTTTCTTACTGCAATAAATTTATGACTTATTCTGTGAGTTATCCCCATCCACTCACCGCAAAAGAAAATTATTTATATTTAAGAATTTTGCAAAATATTATTAAAATTAACGTAAAAAATGCAAATTTCTCCAGATCTTTAGAAAATTTTCGAAAACTGTGTTACAATTAAATTAAATAGTAAAAAATATTCTCGTTTTGTGTTGGATTTGTGGTCGTCAAGTAAAAGCAAATATGGCTAGTAAGTGTCTGAGTGTTCTTTTCCTTTTCCTTCATTGGTTCTTTTCTTAAATTTTTTATTTCCCTATTTTTCCAATTCCTCCAATTGTTGGCAAACTGTCCTCACTATTTTCCCTATCACATTCTTCGCAATTTGCACTATCCTTTTCACATCTATTGTTTTATAATCTGCAAAAATTATGAGACAATTTCAGCTGAAACTGAAGAACTATATAAATCAGAAATTAATTCACGAAAAAGTGAAAAAGGTACTGGACTTTACTTAGAATAAATCATTACAAAAATGGAATTTACTTGATTGCCTGGGCCTCTCCATCTATAATTCTTTCTCGGTTTTTTCGTTACCTTACCAGCCGAATGAGAATATTGAACTCTTTCAATCAATTTTGATGTACCAGCCGAACTCAGGAAAAAACACTGTCGAGCGCTGGACTGCATTCGATGGAATAAACAAACTCCTCTTTGATACATTTTGCTTAAAATTTAATAGTTATGTTTATTTTCGTAAGATTAAGTTGGTTTTCTTACGAAAACTTCCTGCGAACTCGGGTGTTCTATTTTGATTAATACAAAGTGCTAGGCAGAAAACTTTAGAGAACTGAGTATAGCTGCGGGCCTACGGCTTGGCCTTGAGCTCGCGGCTAATCTGAGACTTAAGCCATGGCAACACAAAATTCCCAACAAAGCAAATGGATTTTCAATATGAAAAAACAAAATCAAATAACTAAATCAGACTTCAGTGGCTACGAATTTCACAACTTCTTTTCAAGACCAATATCGAGTGAATTCCTACCAGACCTTTTCCTAAAAGGTTGTTTGCATAGAGTGTGCTATTTATCTGCTTATGTCGAAGGGAAACAATTTTTTTCAGACGAGCAATAAGTGGGAGAGCGATTGACAAATGGGCAAAACGCTAATTTCAGATTAAGTAGCTTGAGTAGATGTTAAGTAGTTTAAGAAATTTCTCCGAGGTGGTGAGTTGGGGATAGAGGGAGAGATAAGTCGCCAGCACCATATGCATTTTCAAATCGTATGATAACTTCTGTCGAGAGGATCCGAACTCTCATCTTCCAAGTATCTGAACAATGATCTGAGCCACTATCCACTCTATTGTCCTGTGCTTTGCTCACCATTTATATCGCATGCTACACAATAATTTTAGTAAAAGTGGGGAAAATTACGATTTTTTATATTATCGAAAAAATTACTTATTTAATCAAAATAATGAAAAGATTGGCTTATTTTGGTCCACCGATGTGTCGACCCTACCGATTCTTTTTTGGTCTCTCAGTCATTTCTAAAAAGTTATTCATTATTATTAGGTATGGTTTTAAAGAAAGAAAAAATTAATTAAAATTATCATTTATCACTGTAGTAAATCATTCGAAAAGAAATATAGAAAAAGGTCCATCCATTTTAAAAAGAATTTTTCATAACTTGAATGAATAAATGAATTTTGCGGTCCGTCAAAGAAATATGAAGGCCAAAAATTAATTTTAAGTCATACCGGTTTGTATAAAATTAATACATTTCTTGTTTCTTCGATTCCAGTAAGCAGCTATCCTTTTATTTCTTTGTTATTTTCATTTCAAATCGCCACTTTCTGTCATTTTCTTATCATTTCAAGTAACAATATAGTTCGAAATTTTGTGGAGAAATATAAATTTAGAGATCTGAATTTATTATTGTCATTATTATTTTTTGCAACCATTCTTTTGTTATTAGTAATTATTATTAATATTATCGTTATTATTAATATTAATATTGTTATTGTTTTTATTTATTGCTAATTATTATCATCATTATCATTATTAAGCATTGTTTATTATTATTATTATTATTATTATTATTATTATTATTATTATTATTATTATTATTATTATTATTGATTATTGCTAATTATTATGATTATTGTTACTAGTTATTTTTATTTATTATTATTTATTATTGCTATTAATTATTACTTTTGTTATTATTTGTTATTATATTATTTATTATTTGCTATTATTTATTATTATTAATTAATTTTATTTTATGAAAAACAGTGGAAAGAACATTAAAAAATAATTTGGTAATAAAATATTTGTGATTACGTGCGGGATAATTTCGAAATTTTAATAAGCTCTTTTTTTTCATTCTATGCATATTCTTATTTAATTATAAAATAATAAAGCATACTAGCTTGATGAAGTGGTAGATAAAGTACAGATAAGGGATAGAATGACTAAGGTGGGTTGTTGTTGTTATAAGTTGAATGAATAAATAAACTTGGAGCGCCAATGTTGGGACTCTCAATCGGCAACGCTAAATTGGTTTTTTGAAAATTAGGGTGTTGCTGGCGACTTACCTCTGCTTTTATCCCATGCATTTATTTATCTGGTCCAATAAGCCAGCAGAGCTTCGAAAGTGAAAGAAACTAACTGTATGTAATGACTTTGATAGCCGCATGATAAGGAAAACAATTTTCTTTTTTCTATCATTGTTTAGAATTTTTCCTTCTTTCTTATAAGTCAAGTGTAATCATAGTTTTTTCCAATTTAAGAAAAAAAATTTGCTGCAAAACCAAGTAATCTTCAAAACGAAGTCGGCAAAACATCAAATAGTTCACCAAAGGAAGTAACTGATAATCTAAATTCTGAGAAAATGCCAGTCACAGTTCATCTAAGGATTTTTTACGCAGAGCTACACGCTATTCCCAATAATTAATCTAATATTAATGATGATAGGCCTATAAACGAGATGAATGAGATTGTATCGATCATTAAAATGTGTTTGAGACAGATGATGCTGGCGACTCACCTGGATTTCTATCGCAAAGGGACTCCCTGGCTTATTGTCCAATGCGACAAGCCAGTGGAGTGAGCCTAACCAGTAATGGTGATAATTTTTAAAAAAAAAAATGTTAGCGCATTAGATTTTTTTGGGTTCAGATTTAACCTAAAATTGTAATAATTTGAACAATATAATTTAATATAACCATATAGAATTTTGCAAGTATAAATTAAATCTTGTTTGACGAATTGAGAAGGGATCCAGGTTGTATTGTTGAAGCTGTGCTTTGTAATTAAAATTCCTATTAAGAGAGAGACGTACGTCGTATAAAATATTTTTGGAGTCCTACAATTAATTTTCTTGATTTACGATATCTCGGGGAGGAACAGGTAGTACTATAGTCAAGAAGAGGCGGGACGAACGCTTTGTACATTTTGACCTTTAGCTTTGTTCTTAAACGAACGAAAAATAAAATTTAGTATCTTTGAGGATTTCTTTACCATGGTTCTGAGGGTCGAAATCAAGATTTCCATCCATAATTATTCCAAGATCGGAAATGTGCAAGACTCTACTGATTATATTGCCATTAATAAAAAGATTAGGAAGATCGAATCCTTTTGAATTCATATGAAGAACGCTATACTTTTCAAAAGAAAGGATAATTTGCCTGTCATATAGCCATTTGGCTATTCTTTTGAGGTCCTCCTGCAGTGGAGATAGATTATCCGCTTTATCATGAGAATAATAAATTTCACAATCATCAGCATCAAGGTAAATGGTAAAATTTAGTATCACTTTGGTGATACCATTTATATAATAAAAAAAAGCAATGGCGCAATACAACTACCTTGGGGAACACCAGATTTAACAGGTGTCATGTTAGAAAGAATGTTGTTGAGATATACAGTCTGGTGACGATCTTTGAAGTATTCTGACACCAAGTTATATACGGCGCCTGTAATGCCACAACGGATGGCCAAGAACATATGGGAAACAGTATCAAAAGCTTTGGCTAAATCTAGATAAGCATCTGATACTGCTTTTTCATTATCAATTGATGCTGACCAATCGAAAATCATCCACATCACCCACATTAATAAATGCATCATAAAAAGAATTTCTTATAACTTTGCAAATCCTTGTACAAATTCTTTTCATTTGATGAAGAAATCTGCTAAAGAAGAACTCAAACTTTTCTTTCTGGAATTACTTAAGACATAATTTTTTTTCTAACTTTAAAAAATAAATAATTTTAAGATTAGATGACATTGATTACGAATAATGTTGTTACGAACATTTTTAAATTTTTCTTTTCATTCATGAAGATATTAATGAGTAACAGTAATTTTAATAGCAATCTTTAATAATAATATATATCTTTAATAATAAAATACTGTCGAATATTATAATAAAAAAGTAGGAACTGATTAAATTACTGGATGTTTATAACATGCTAATAAGGTTAGAGTCGTCATTAAATAATGAACAAGGCACTTTACAAAAGGTGCAACCTCTCATTATTCTCTTATTCTATAATGAATGATATCTTGAATTTTAGTCGTAATCCGAAAGTATCGAAATTGCCATTCCTTTCTTAAAAACGCGTCAGCCATTCTAACTAGTGTCTTATCAGCATAACTTACGTTGCAAATAGAATATTAGAAAGATTTACCTGCAACGACCTTTATCTTCATGAAAGCAATTTGATTTCCTTTTATCAACATTATTTTTTGCCTCAAA